ATATACCCCATCTCCCAAATCCCTGCATTTTTTCAATATTTGGTATCCTTTCTAGAAAGTCCTACCATAGCATTCTACCCAGGCATGACTTCCCCAGGAGAGCATACCATGTAACAGACCTTCCTCTTCTCCCTTCCTTTCACCTCAGTATTTGGGCCAGTGACTGCTGTCTAGCTGCTCATCGTGCACTTGGGAAAGGCCACTGGACTTGGAGTCAATGGTCCTGAATTCAAATTCCAGCTCCTCCATTTACTTGCTGTGTGACCTTGGCCAGGCCTCATCCCCTATCTGAGCCTCCATTTCTTATGAATCATATGACTGTTCCAGTGAATGATGGATCAGTGTATAGCCCTTCTTGGGTAATATAAACAACTTGTGGAGACACAAAAGCTGAAAGAATGGCTTTAATTATGGAAACGTGAGGCACCCTGATGTGACACAGACTCAGATATATACATATGTGTGTGTATTTTTACCTGCTTAGAACTTGCCCTGCCTTCAATGTATATGCACATATAAACTGGGGATAACATTTATGTCAATGGAGAGTAATAGGTAAGGGCTTCTCTCCCAGAAGAATACAGAGGTCAGATATTACTTAAATCTTACAAATTATTTTTTACTTTTCTGAGATCACATCTCTGGCATCCAACTCATGATGTCCACTCTCCAGGCTACCACCCTAATTCAAACTCCCCATTGTTTCTTCCTTGGATTATTGTAATAGCCTCCCCATTGGTCTCTTTGCCTCCAGGTTCTTCTCTCTCCAATCAGTCCTCTATAATCTGAGGTGTCAAACTCAGCCCGCAAAACTCAGATGCCATAGCAAACAGACTAAGATACAATTGGGAAATATTTAACAAAATAAATAAAAATACAATAGAAAATAGATAATGTTAATATGTGGTTTTCTAAGTCAACTTGCCCACTCTGGAGATTTTTATATAGTCTAGTGCTCCCCATCTTTGCTTAAGCTTGGCACCAGGAGTCTACAGAGCAAATTGCCAAAAGACAAATCTGACCATAGCACTCATCTGCTCAAGGAGTTTTGGTGGCTCCCTGTTGCTTCAAGGATATAATACGAACTTCTCATTTTGGACTTTGAAGTGCTTCATGATTTGGCTTCACCATATCTTTCCAGTATTTTCACATTACTCTTCAACACATTTCCTTAAATTCTAGCAGAGACCTGTTTACTATTCACCATACACGGCATTTCTTTTCCCGTCACCATCCATTTTCATGACTTGTGCTCAATGTCTGTTCAAAATCTTAGCTAAATTCAAGGCTCAGTTCAGGTACTACTTCCTTCAAAAGAACTTTTTTGATTCCTTCTTCTCCATTTCAAAGGCTTTCCCTAACCCCCAAATCACTTTGTATTTACTTTTGTATGAAGCAGTCATTTCATTTGTTCACTTGTTTTTCAGTCATGTCCTACTTTTCATGACCCCATTTGGGGTTTTCTTGGCAAAGATACTGGAGTGCTTTGTCATTTCATTCTCCAGCTCATTTGGCAGATGAGGAAACTGAGGTAAACAGGGTTAAGTGACTTGCCCAGGGTCATACAGCTACGAATTGTCTGCACCTGGATTTGAACTTAGGAAGATGAGTTTCCTGACTCCAGGCCCATTGCTCTATCCATTGTGTCACCTAACTGTCCCCATGAAGTATTATGTTGTATTTACTTTCATATGTTACTTTGTATTTACTAATCTGCGTACATATTGTATCCCTCATAGAATGTAAGATCCTTGAGGACAGGCAGGGGTTGTTCCTTTATTGTCTTTGCATCTCCAGCCCCTGATATAATTCTTGGCATGTAGTGGGTGCTTAGGAAATATTTGTTGGATTGGATCAAACTGAATTGAGATTCTGAACCCTTTTGCACTTTAGATTAAAAATCCAGGAAGCCAGAATCATCCTGGGTGTTGTATTTCAAAGTGCAAGAATGGTTTCTTACAGAAGAAAAGCACTGATATTGAGAAGAAGAGCTGGTGTCTGTGGGTTTGGCTTCCTCTCTCGTCCCCTCATCTTTTTTTTAAGCAGGAATATTGAGATTTCTTCTTCGTCACCATGGCACTGACCTGTCCTAAATCACTGTCTCAGCCGCTCCTGGACGTGGATGCGGAGTCAACCTTAATTAGAAGGCATTCACATACAGTCAAGAGCAAGTAATATTCCCACCAACTGAGGACCCCAAGGAGACACAAAGAATAGTGAGGAATAGCTGGTGGGGATTTGCATTTTATAGAATTTATAGCAAACAGGGAGCCAGTTCTGGGCCCATAAAAAGTGTTATTTAGGCAGGAGCTTTTAGGTTTTATTAAATCCAAGATTTTCCTCCTCCTCTCCTCTTCTCCTTTTCTTGTTTCCCCCTTTCTTCCTCTCTTCTTTCTTCTTTCCCTCTCCCCCTTTTTTCCTACCTTCTTTCTCTTTCTCTTCCTCCTGCCCTGCCTCCTCTTTCACTTATCTTTGTTTTCTACCCTTGGCTATCCTCTCCTTTTCCTCCTCTCCTTCCCCATCTTCTCCTTTTCCATCATCTTTTCTCTAGCCACCCTTCCTCTCCTCTCTTCTGCTCTCACTTACCAACCCCCTCGCCTGCTATAAGTACTTTCCTCTTTTTAGTCTGGTTACAATAATCACATCAGCATTATCACGGCACCTGGAAAGAGCATGTCAGTCTACTGCCTTTTGGGTCAGTTCAACATCCCTGTGATTCTCCTCATAAAAACCTCCTGCTCTAGCCATTACAACCCTATGTATGTGGCCTTCTCCTATGAGAATGCAGTATCCTGGAGAGCAGGGACTGTCTCCGTTTTGCATTTGTATCACTAGCACTTAGCAAAGTGTTTGGCACACAGTGGATACTTAATAAATGCCTTTTCATTCAACCAGAGACCTCACATCCCCTGGCTGTTACAACTCCTTGGTGCCATCCCCTCTAGTGAAATGGAAAAGCTCATAGGATCATAGATTTAGAGCCAGAAGTGACCTTGAAGGCCATCTAGTTCAATTTCCTCACTTTTGACAGATAAGGAAACCAAGGACCAATGACTTCCAAGATCACTCGGGTAGTAAATGTCAGAGGCAGAAAGAACTCACTGAAGCCACAGGCAAGGCTTTTTGCACCATGCCAAATTGCCCACTTAAAGGCTATTAGGAAGCAGTGGCAAGACCATGAGATTGGGAATAAGAAGACGCTAATGCTAGTCCAGGCATCTCTACTTATTAGCTGGTTAACTTTGGGTAAATCACATCATCTCTCTGAGCCTGGGTTTCCTTGTCAAAAAAACAGGAATAAAAATGTTTGCATTTTCTAATTCTTAGTGTTATGAGGAAAAATGCCACAATGAAAAATTAATTAACATTACATTGTAAAGTCCTTGAGGGGAGGGACTGTCTTTTTATCTTTCTATATATCCTCAATTCTTGGCATAGTGCCTGACATATAGTAGGTGATTAATAAATGTTTTTTGATTGATAATTAGTTATAATGTAGATCTTTTAGTACTATATAAATTTGAGTTGTTATCTTTGCCAAACTACCTGCCCACCTCCCTGAACTTTCTCTGGGGGATCATAGGATCCTAGACCTAGAGATGAAAGGGGACTCAAAGGCCTTCTAATCCAACCCCCTCATTTTATAGTTGGAGAAACTGAGACCCAGAGAATGTGACTACCCCAAGCTTATGCAAGTCAAAAGGGACAGAGGCAGGACGGCCTGGGGCAAAATTAGATTTTGCCCACCTGCCTCATCTCCCAGTCCCCTGCATTCTATCAAGTATGTGCTACCTTCAACCCTTAGCTTTCTAGAAAATTCAACCATAACATTCTATCCAGGCTTGACTTCCCCAAGAAAGTACACCATGAAATAGATCTTCTTCTTCACCTTGCACTCCAGGATCTGGGAAAGCGACTGCGGTCTCCTCATCATGGGGTTGTGGGAAGGGCACTGAATTCGGAGTCAATGCCTGTGGATTCCAATTGCAGGTCTTCCACTGACTAGTTATGTAACCTCAGCCAAGTCCTGATATACTTTTCAAAATATTTGGGGGAGCCAACCAATACAGAGTTCTTACATACAGCTGTATAATGACATGGAGTATGTGCCCTGCAAACTTTAGAAGAACATTTGTATGGTGAATTAAGGTTTATAAAATACTTTTCACATGTTATTTTATTTAAGGCACTTAGGAGGTACAGTGGATATAACATTAGGCCTGGAATCAAGAAGACTTGAACTCAAATATGACCTAAGATATTTACTAATTGTGTGACCCTGAGCAAGTCACTCAACTGCTGTTTGCCTCAGTTTCCTCAATGTAAAAGGGGGATAGTAACAACATTTACCCTCACAGGGTTGTTGTAAGGATCAAATGAGATATTTGTAAAAATATATTGTTGTTCAGTTGTGTCCAACACTTCATGACCTTGTTTGGATTTTTTTTGGCAAAGGTAGTGGAATGGTTTGCCATTTCCTTCTCCAGCTCATTTTACAGAAGAGGAAACCGAGGCAAACAGGGTGAAGTGATTTTCCCAGGGTCACACAGCTAGTAAGTGTTAGAGGTCAGATGTGAACTCAGGTCTTCCTGACACCAGGCCCAATATTCTATCCACTGTACCACCCAGCTGCCCCTAAAAACACATTAGTAGGTGCTATATAAATGCTTACTCCTTCCTTCCTTCCTTCCTTAAATTATATGTAATTCTGAGGAATAGAAACTATAGATATTATCAACTTTATTTTACAAATGAGGAAAATGAGGACCAGATTGGTTAAGTGATTTGTCCAATGTCATATATAGCTAGTATTTTTTCAGAAGTATGATGTGAACTCAGAACATTACTCTATCTATTACCTCTGTGTTGCCTCTCATTTATATCACACTGTCAATTTCAGTCATTATTATTATCCCAGCCATGTCTCCCTTCACCTACCCAACTGGTTTCTTAAGACCTGTACAAAAGGTGTCTCATGGGACCATTTCCTTCTCTCCTAGGAGCATGAATTGAAGGATGCTGCACAAGGGAAGAGTCGCCTGAGACTTCAGTATGCTAACCTTTTCCACAAGGCACTGCAGTATGAGCAGGTAACCATGTGCTTTCACTGTCCTGACCTGGGGCGAAATCACTCAACATAGCTCCACTTATAGATAGACATGAGGTCTAGTGGTCAGGTCATTACAAGAACTCTTAAAAAAATTAATGTTATTATTTTTCAATCAAAAAAATTCAGTTTCTTTCCCCCCTACCCCCACTTCTTATATTAAGAAAAATAAAAACAAAAACAAAATCCTTGTAACAAAAATGCACAGTCGAACGAAACTAATTCCCACATTGGCCATGTGTGTGTATGAATACATATATATATGTTATTATCTCATATATATCTATATATGTATATACACAGAGATGAGACATATTTAAATACATATATGCATATACATATATATAGTGTATGTATATATATACATATATATACATACATATATATGTATATGTACATATCTAATGTCTTATTTTACATCACGAGTCCATCACCTCTCTCTCAGGTTGTGGGTAGCATGTTTCATCATGGGTTCTCTGCAATTATAGTTGATCATTGTGTCAGAGGTCTTAAATGTTTCTAAGTTGTTTGGTTTTTTTTAAATGTTGTTATTGTAGAAATTATTCACTTTGTTTTGCACACTTCATTCTGCATCAGTTCAAAGCAGTTTTCCAAGGTTTCTCTGATATCATCTTCATCTGTCTCACAGCATGACATAACCCTATTACATGCATATACAATAATTTGTTCAGCTATTCCTTAGTTGATGGACGGCCCCTTTAATTTCCAATTCTAAAGTACCACAGCAAGAGCTGCTATAAATAATTTTGTACGTATGGATCATTTCATCTTTCTTTGCTGTCCTTGATGGATAACCCTAGTAATAGTATCAGTGGGTGAAAGAGTGAGCACAGCTTAGTGACTCTTGATGCAAAATCACAAATTGCTTTCCAGAATGGCTAGACCAGTTCACAGTTCAACCAAAATGTGTTGATTTTCCTACAGCCCTTCCCATTTTGTGATTTTCTGTTTTGTTTTGTTTTCTTTTGGCCAACTTTGTCAATTTTATAGATGAGAGGTTGCATTTCTCTAATTATTACTGATTTTGGAGTATTTTTTTTTCATATGGCTATTGATATCTTGGATTTCTTCCTCTGAAAACTACCTGTTGTTATCCTTTGACCATTTATCAATTGGCAAATGCTTCTTATTCTTATAAATTTGAATCAATTCCCTAAATACCTTGGAAAAGAGACCTTTATCAAAGAAACACACTGCAAAGATTTTGCTTCTCAATTACGTGCTTTCCTTTTAATTTTAACTGTATTCATCTTGTTGGTGCAAAAACTTTTCAATTTCATATAATCAATAAATATACTTCTATTCCTGTTCTCTTCTTCTCTTTCCCCTGTCCAGAGTCCATCACAAGTTCTTTCTCTTTTGTTCTTTCCTTTTAAACACTTCTTTATAATCGACCCCTCTATGAGTAGAGTTTGTTTTGCTTAGGAAAAATACCTCCATGAATCTACCCTCCCTCTTATTCTTCATTTCCTACTCCCCTTTCTTTCTTGTTTGCCTGTTGAGTGAAATGTATTCCTGTACCCAACTCTGTGTGTGTGTGTGTGTGTGTATGTGTGTGTGTGTGGTGTTCTTCCCTCCTTTGACCATTTCAGATAAAAGTGAGGTTCAAACGTTCATAGAGAAAAACAGGTAGTACAGTGGGTAGAGCCCTGAACTTAAAAGTCAGAAAGACCCAAGTCCAAATCTGGCCCGAGACACTTATTAGTTGTATGATCCTGGGAAGGTCACTTAAGTGCTGTCTGCCTCAGTTTCCTAATCTGCAAAATGATGATAATAATAGCACCTACCTCCCAGGGTTGTTGACCTTGACTGAATCCCTTATCTTCTCTGATTCTCTGCAAAGCAAAAGGGTTGATCCCAATATTTTTCTAAAAATATTAAGATATTTAATGGTGATAAAAAGACAAAAATCAGTCCTTGCCCTCAAAGAAATTACATTTTACCAGATGGATACAACATGTGCACAGATAAGTTGATACAAGCTAATTTCAGGAGGGAAAGAATTCTAACCACCAGAGCGACCAGGAAGGCTGACCATTAAGAGTGGCACCTGGGATGGATTGTGAAGGAAGCTAAGAATTCTAAGAGACGGTGGTATGATAGGGAATGCTTCATGGACAGCCTGTGTGATAAGTGCTATAGCAGAAAGAACATGTCAGACACAGAAGACTTGGGTTCAAATCCTGTCTCTGCCTCTTGTTAACAGTGTGACAATGGGCAAATCACCTCTCTAGACTCCAGTTTTCTCATTTGTAAAAAGGAGGGGGGCGTGGTCAGACTAGGTGGCCACTGAAGTTTCTTTCTGTTCTAAATCTATGCTCCTATAAATACAGAATTTGGGAAACAGCTAGTGAAAGCTAGTTTGGCCAGAACATAGAATACCTAAGGATTGAGGAATGGGGAGCAGGTATTGTGGGGGAAAAACAAACTAGAAGGGTAAGGGGAACTAGGTTGTAGAGAGCTTTAAGTTCCAGGTTGAAGAGACTATATTTCATCCTGGAGGCAGTAGGGAGCCACTGAAAGTTTTTGAGTGATAGAGTAAGGCCTGTTCCTTAAGAAACATTTTGGGAGCTGTGTGGACAATGGCTTCAAGAACTAAGTAATAATATCCATTAGATTTAGTACTTAAGACATCATTATTGACACTAGAGAGAGAAATCAGTTTCATTTGAGTGATGGGATGAGAAGCCAGATTGCAAGGGATTGAGAAGTGAGTGAGTGGGAAGACAGCAGAAAGCAGAAGAGTTCATCAGGGGACACATGCAAGCAGGGCAGTGTTGGAACTACCATGTTAAATTTGAAATACACAAAAACAATAACAGAAAGCAGTATGTAGGAGGTGAAGCAGTGAAGCCAGCACATGTATGTATGTTTTTCTAGGAGTCTGGCCTTGAAAAAAGGTAGGATGAGAGCTTGTGGATAAATGAAAATAATAGTAGGGTCAATCCAAGGGTGTGTGTGTGTGTGTGTATATGTGTTAAGGTTGGGGGGAAACCGATCATGTTTGTAGGCAACAAGGAAGGATATTGGAGATATTGGAGAGGAGGGGGGTGGGAGGGAGGAAGAGAGAAAGAGGAGAGGAGAGGAGAGGAGGGGAGGGGAGAAGGGAGGAAAGAAGGAGAGAAAAGAGGAGGAGAGGAGGGGAAGGGAGAAGGGAGGAAAGAAGGAGAGAAGAGGGGAGGAAAGAAGGAGAGAGGAGAGGAAGAGAGAAGCAAACAAATAAAGAATAAAAGGTGATAAGGCTTGGAACAGAGAAGTAGTTTAGTATACATGGCTTTTATTTTTCTCAGTAAAGTAGGAATGCAGTTCTCTACTGAGAAGGATGGAGGGGTCAAGGGATTCAAGAGAGAAGAGACGTTTGAAATTGATGCTAGAGTTTGGGTCTCACTGGTCTCAAAGATCCTCTAAGATTCTCTGAGCCCTGTGGGCACCAACCATGGAACCTCACCTATGTGGAATATTTAGTGATCAGTTGATTGTCCTTCAAAAGAAAATTTCAGGGATTTAAAAAAAAAATTATTATGCTATAAAAAAATCAGCTAGGTGCCACAGTGGATAGAACAGGGGACTTAGAGTCAGAAGATTCTTTTTCCTGAGTTCAAATCTAGCCTCAGACATTCTCTAGCTGTGTGACCCTGGTCAAGTCACTTAACCCTGTTTGCCTCAGTTTCCTCATCTGTAAAATGAGCTGGAGAAGGAAATGGCAAACCACTCTAGTATCTGCCAAGAAAACCCCAAATGGTCACAAAGAGTCAGACACAACTGAAAAATGACTAAACAACATAAAAAAATCAAACAGTTCTTGGGGTTGGGATTATTATTTTCTTTTTTCTTTTTCCTTTGTCATTTCTGATCACACACTCATCTTCTGTTCAACTAATTTGCATTAACATGTCAGCCTTCATAGGGGTATTTCACGCAACCAAAAATCACAGATACTATAAGGGAGCTCAGAAGTCATCTAGTCCAACTAGTGGCTAAGAACCCCTTCTATGACACCCTCAACAAGTGCTCATCCAGCCTGTACTTGAACACTCCAATAAAAGGGATTCCATCACTTCATAGGGCAGCCCATTTCATTTTTGGGCAAGGCTGAGCATAGTCTTAAACGAAAGGAATGAGTCTCTAATGGTGGAATTGCAGTTGTCAGAGATAGGCTGATACATCTGAGAGGGGAATTTGATATGTACCCATTCCTTATAAAATACTTTGAATAGGCAAAATATCCTGCCAAAATAAACTCTAGACTAGACAGTGAAGCTGGCTCATCTTGCCTTTGCTTTTTGGATGTATAGCACTTAAATCTGATCATGCCCTCCCTACTAGAACTATCTTGCATTCATTCCATACATGTATGTGTGTATGTATGCATATATATTTATATATGTACATATGTGTATACAGCATATATATCTTTTATGTATATGTTCTGTCTCCTTTATTAGATTATAAGCTTTTTGAGGGAAGGTACTATTTCACTATTGTCTTTATATCGCCAGCATTTAACATAGTGCCTGGCATCTGGGATGTGATCAATAAATGTTTGTCGATTGCAATGGTGGGAGAACAGTCAGTACATAGAGAAGAAATACTGCACATATCAAGTTTAGGGATAATGGAGGAAATCAGTATAGAGATGAGAATAATAGAATGTAAGTTCCTTGAGGGTAGGGACTAGTTTATGATTTTTGCCATTGAATCCCCAGTGCCTAGCACAGTGCTTAGTACATAGAAAGAGATTAAGTGCTTGTAAGATCGTTGCTTACTAGTTTGATTAAAATCACAGATCACACTTTTTATTTTTATTCTTTTATCCCTGTAATTGCACATTTTAAAAATAAAAACTGTTTTGTTCAAGGCTGAGGAACATGGAGCATTTGCTCTGTAATGCTGCTTGGCAAGTGTTTGGCAGCTGTCATTGGAAGCCAGTCAGAGTTGTGAATAGTCCTCTTGGCAGGCACA